TCAGGCGGCCCCCTCTGGAGCAGCAGGGGAGGTGGGCTGCTGGCAGTCATGGAGCAGAGAGGCAGCAGACAACCATCTACTGCTTCTCCTGTCACTGTCTGGGTCACCCCACTTGGAACTCATCAGGCACTCCTCTGAGCAGCCTCTGGGTGCAGCCTGCAGAGCCCTTCTGTGCTCAGACCCCAGGGCAGCTGCTGGCTCTCTGCTCTTTATGAAGCCATCCCACAACAAAGGCCTGGAGCAAAGTGCTAGATGAACAACATATGCCTGAAAGACTAGGAAAAAAGGCACATCACAGAGACACAGGCTGAAATCCAGCTGAGTGGAGTCAGGAGGTAGGGGCCTGGGGAGTCTGGGGCTTGAGCTCCTTTCAACACTTCATGCCTAGGAAGCAGCTGGCCATTTTTCCAACAAAGACTTGGTAGTTTCACCCTGTGAAGCTTGTTTCAGGCACCTGATGAGTACTTTCATCACTCTTTATCCTCCTCCACAAACATCCACAGCCCAGCTTGATACAAACCACTTGTTTCTTCAACAGTGTTACCAGACACATACCTTAGAAAGTTCATATAAACAGAGAACCTGTCTGCAGTAGTTTCTCCCATGGACACACTCATCTATGAGAGCTTTCAGGCTGATAACAACCTCATCATCTGGAGATGGAGCCACAACGTGTGTCCAGTCTTCTAAGCTTGATGCTGGAAAGAAAAATACCACAAGTTCCTTTCTTGTAAAGACAGATGACACCAAAAGCCTCACACTTGGAAGCAAGACTCCAGAGATCTGTAGCAAATGCATAACAACTTTCTCAGCCTCAGAAAACTGAACTCTTGATACATGTGATTCTTTTCTTACCTTTTAGAGTACAAACAATAGGACAGAACACAAAATGAGCCCAATTATCATCCACAATACTATCTCAGATGTGAAATTCCTAAGCATAAGAGAACATAAGGGTCCAGCAGTCTTTTCTGGCTGAGGATTCACTCATTCTCTTCTCTTGTAAATAAGTCATGTTCCAGCTGAGAGCATTCTCATTCAGACTTCATAACTGTGCACTGAGTACTTTATATAGAAACATTATCACCCTTTAGCCTTGTTATTAATAAAAAACACTCAACCCTTTATAATGTACACAGAATTCAGAGACATATTAAGGCATTTCTTTGTTTCAGCTCCAGAAACATGCTCAGGGTTTACTAGAGTGTGTATTCCACAAGCAGGAACCCAGGTGAAGTTCAGTGCTACGTTCCCAGCACAGAACTGTGAACCACAGGAAATCAGCAGTTAAGGGACTCTAGGAACCATGCACAGAAATGTGCAGGGTGACAGGTTTTGCTGAGCATGGACAATCAGTGCAGGCAGTGAGGTTCTCGTAGGCCTGAGAAAGTTCATAAAGTAACTCTGAGTGCCAAAGTATTTAAAGTTAGTGAATTCTGTTGGCTGCTCACTGGGACAAGTATGCTAAACACTGACAAACTAACTGACAACAGCTCTAGAGTTGTGGAAGGGCTGACAGAGCACGTGGACAGAGTATGGACAATAACTATTATACAATCAGGAGCTCAATTTAGGCACGTGAACAGGCTTGTTAGCCTATGGGGTCTGGGGGCTGTCTCTTGTTTGTTATAAAAGGCTGTAACACTTTGCAATAAAGGGATTTGACTGCAGACCCCCTGGAGTGTGCACCTTTCCTCCAGACCCCTTCCCGACACAGAAACACCATGCCTGAAGCTCACACAAGGAACACCTATTACAAGGCTTCAAATTCCTTCCACTAGAGGATTTATGAACTATGAAGATAACCTGCTGTCATGAAGACCTTATTTCCTGAAGAAATCTGGGGGGAAATTAACACTAACAAAAGAGGAAGAAGCCAGTGGAACCCCAATGATGGCATCCATTGGCTCGTGTCACTTACCGCTCGGGACCCTGCCCTGCTGAGATGTGCTGCTCTCAGATGTCTTCTCTCTGGCTACCAGCAGAGCCTGAATATCAGCCTGTAATTTGTCCAGAGCAGCCTCCCCCGAGGCCAGGGCTCTGCAGTGCAGCACCAGGGAGACATCTCTGCTGTAGAACTGGAAGTACTGACACACACGGCTGGCCTCGTGCACGCTTCCTTTGTCCAGGAGGGACCCGAGCAGAGCCTCCAGGGACCCCTCCTCCTCCTCAGTCAGTACCTGCTGAGGCTCCCCAAATGCAAGACCCTCCAGTTTTAGGTACTTCGGTGTGTTCAGAGCAGGCAGGTTTGAAAAAGAAAACTCCTTAGCTAAGTTATCAAAGGAGAGATCCCTGTTCAGCACGTGGGAGGGAAGCCTGGACTTGCCCGACCCCTCGGCTGCAGACAGCGTTTGTTCGGCGATGTGGCAGATCCAGATCTGCTTCTCTATTGCTTCTAAGCTCTGCAGGGACACCAAGTCACCCTTGGCTAGCCAGTGGCCAGCCAGAGTGAGCAACAAACGTCTCTCCATAATGCTGCTTAACTTCTCAGGAGCTGAAGGTTCAAATACATCATTTGCCTGATCAAAGAAAAAATCCGAGGCAGCTCTGCTGGAGATGGAATTTCTCCTGAAGTTGTCATTACATTTCTTCCAGAATTCTACCCTTGTCTGGTTCTGATGCCACTGTCCACTGTCTCTTAAGTGATGTAGATCTCTTAGAACCTGCAAAATTCACGGAGGTTAGCAACTACCTTTTGAAGGAAAAAACACTCACAACTCACAATGAATGGTTAGCATAATGAATCTCCATTAAGTGTCTTAATATGCAACAAATCAATCTGGTTCTCCCAACAAATAAAACTGATTCCAAAGGAAGGAAAAACAGGAAGAGAAGCAGGAAAGAGACTGTCCTTTCCAGCTCAGCACTTACAGGCAACATGCTTGGTGCACTTGAATTCAAAATAGAAAGCAATTTGAAGGGAAATTTCAGGAAGGCTGAGAAGTGACATTCTCAGTGCTGCTGGCAGCCGGGGCAGGAAGAAGTGAGCACCTCTGTGGAACTGTCCCGTACCTCTCGTGTGACGATGCCATCCACGGGCAGCTCAGCCAGTGCTGCCACCTCCCGAGCGAGAGGGAACATTCCTGCCTCCTGCAGCTGCTCCAGGATGGAGCTGCACTCACTCCTGAACAGCCCCACACCGCAGCTGCCGAGGACAGAGCGACTGATCCGGATGGGGGAGTCCTCCAGGGTCTCACTCAGGGCACACAGCTTCTTCACGTAGGGGCCTGTCAGAAGGGAGGACAAGCAGCTAAAGGCAGCTGGTTTTTAACCCTGAGGAGCAACGTTTACTCCTGATTTCAGAATGCAGCCCTGCCAGAAGAGCACAGACTTTATACCCTAAAGCTTTCGCAGGACTGAAAGTCAGCTCTAGATCTGTAAGTACAATATTTCTGCAGACCATCTGTACACTCCTCACCAGCACTCACACATAATCATGCTCCCAAACACACTCACACACGTTTGCACCACCACAATTCACCGCAAGGACCAAGTCTGGTTATAGAAATCCTCACACAAAAATGAAGCAGTACAAATACACTAAAAGCAAACATTTTCAGCCACTCCAAAAAGCATTGTGCATGGTCTTTACATGAAAGGGGCAATGCCCTCTGAGAGAGGAAGCTGCATTTACCATCCAGTAGAAGATGCTCTGCTGCAGCAAAGAGCTGCAGGAGCTTCCGCAGCTCGTACTCCGTCCTGCACTGCTGCATCATCAGCTCAAGAAGAAACAATGCTTGTGACTCCAGCCACTGCACAGGCACTGCTGAGGCTGCTGGGTCCTCTTCAGCTTTAAGCTGTGTAGAGAAAGATTTCTAAGCTCTGTTCTAAGTGTTTTGTTCTGTTTTCAAGCATATTCTGCATTTTGATGGGAATCGTACTGGCAATAGAAGGTGTATCAGATCTACCATGAACTGCCACTCCCAAGGGGACACTGATGGATGTTTGACTTTGGTCAAAGAAGGCAATTTTAGGATGGAGTACCCACCAATTACCCCTGGTAATTATGGAAGAGATAAAAGACACAGTAAGGATCAGAAGTGGATAAACTGCTGGATAACTCCTGTCCTACCACTGTACACCTGATAAGCACATCCACTATGTGAGAGGCACACAGGGAGAGGAAACTGATAGAGCCTGAGCTTGAACTGCAGGGGGAAAACCAGCAATGACATGGCACCTTAGCTACCAGGGTATTCATGGAACTAGAAAACTGTGATGGAAAGAACTGGAACCATTTATGAAAAGATCTGTAGGTGACAAGCAGGGAACGGTCCTGCTCTGGCAGGGGGGTTGGACTCAATCTCTGGAGGTCCCTTCCAACCCCTGACATTCTGTGAATGCTGCATGAAAACACTTCTTTGGTCCTCTTAAAACCAACTGCTCCATCAGGGTCTGAACCAAGTGTGGAATTCAGTGCCCTGAGTCATTGACAAAGAAAAGTCCACGCAACTACTGAAACTACAGCAGCACCACAGACTTCTTCAGACATGTTGAAACATACCCAAAAAAGCTGTCTCCTCAAACAGACACTGCTTGTAAGTCACTGGCTGATCAGCTCAGTATTGACTTGGCCTGGTCAGTAGAGAATATCCCACACTTACCACAAATAACTCAGTTCACCAGCAATGGTCCTGCTCGAGTCAGTGCCCACCTTCACACAGTGATCTGCTCACAGGAGGAGCAATGACACTGCATTTCAAACTGCCCATAACAGCTTAAACCAAAATGATTCCACAAAAGGCATTGTGGGGTTTGAGTTGTGAAAAACATTCTCCCATCCATCACCAGCCATAAAAATAATCTGCTGAAACCTGCTGTTTGAGCAGTTGGCTCCTGGATCACTCTGAGCACACCCTTTTTCATCATTTTCACACATGACATTAGATGCCAATCACATTCTGATCAGGGAGGACCCTGGCAATGACATTTAGAGAAAATGAATTTGCTTACTCTTGTGAGACTTTCCTGAAACTGCTCCAGCTTGGGTTTAGCTTCCTTGTATTTTTTACAGTTCATACATAGTTCATACACCTCCAGTAGGTACAGTAAAGGGGAATCCTTTAAGACACAAAAATAGGTTATCATTTTTTCCTAAAAGTACCTCAATAAATGTAGAACTTGTCTCAGTGTTAGAAGAACAGAGTTTTCACTGATTAAAATTGCATGCAGGGTTGATGTATGATCTGAAAATCTGTCATAGTTGGAAGAATTTCCCTTCAAAGATTTTCTTACTCAACTGGGATTTTCAGATTACACCCAGGGCATCAAGGCCATAAGTAGTAAGAAACAGGGGGTGAAATCTATAAGGTTACCTCCTCTCCAAGATGCTCTGAAATACACCCAACTATACCTCTAAAAAGGCCTTACCTTACCTTTAAAAAGAGCTGGAAGCCATTTAGAAGTGTTTTACTCCTTTGCTTTCTCAAGAAGACTTTCCAGATAACTGACAGGTCATAAAGATCCCACTCATGATTTTCTGCTGAGCTTTGAATGTGGTTTGTTGCTTCAGCTCTGGTAGCATCATCCACAGTAGTAATTATCCAAACACAGAGACAATGAATGATGTTTGCATCCTGTCAAATGACGAAAATGATGGGTTTAGAGTAAGCAAACATCACCTCATTACATGTCACTGGGCCAAATGTGTCATACTATTCCTACTATTCATACACAAGCTGAGAAAAGAACTCAATGAATGCAACTGTGTGTCTGCATTTAACATAATTGTGTACAACCATATTATTTTTATTACATATTCCTCTAAAAGATACAGAACTTCATCAACACTCACTTGGAAACATGCTGCTAACACACTCAGAATGGGAGCCTGCTCCCTCAGCCCTTCAGTCAAGAGGTACCACGAAGGGTTGGGGTTCCCCTGGCACTGGAGGAGGATCTGAAAGAGGCTATCTGCATATTTGCTCTTGAACAGGCTGTTTTCAGGACTCCAAACCAGTAACTTCTCCAACGCCAACATCAAGTGATCTTGTAGAACTGGGGGGAAATCTTGCAGGACAGAAATGACCTAAGAAAACAGAACCAAAAGTATCAACACAGAGACACAGCCAAAGAGAACGCAGAGGAAGGACTGAGGCATCAAATACACAGAAGAGACAAACAAAACATTCTTCAAATTAGATTTTTTGGGAACAATTCTGGAGACCTATAAAGGAAAAAGTCTTCTGTAGGTGTGAATTATTCTGATAATATACTGAAGCTCCTCCTTTCACGTGAAGCTAAGAGACCTCTCAGGGACACCAATTTCCAGCATCTCTCACACTGCTAAAAGTGTGTAGTGAGTTGCTGCTATATATTTATATATTTTTCTTTTCAAGACAAAGAGATCCAAGTTAAAATCCTAAGCCTGCTAACTACCACCCATCTGTAATTTTCCAATTACCTTCCTTACATTACTCTCCCCAACTACTTCTGATTTTTACATATTGGTAATATTTTATTAATTTTAAAATTACTCAAAAAAAAAAGGAATATTTAGATTCTCAAAAATTTAAGCACCTTCACATGAAAGTCAATGTAAGTTTTGAAATAAAAATAATTGACTTTATTAAAATTTACAGTGATCATTTGGTAAATCTCCAACAAAACAACAAACAGTAACTAAATTATTTTAAATAACCAATTGAACCTACAAACAATATAAGTCTGTCATACTTTAAATTTTAAATGAAATTTAAGTCCCTTCTTGGCAAATACCTGTGTTTAATTCACTTCAAAGAGGCACTCAGATCACTCCTCTCTGAAAATGGTTTTCTCCCCTGCCGATTAATAACATCATGTAAGATTTTTCAGACAGGGCATTCTTCTCCTAATCTCCTCCTCCAGCAGTCAGCTTTCATGCTCTTAGGAGCATATGATTAGATCTGCTGAACAGCCAGCTCCCTCTGGAGCCAATTTCCTTTGTCTTGGGTTAGCTTTAGTAGAAAAGTTGGAAAATCCAGCTGTTATCTATCATAAGCAGAGGACTTTGAGCATCCTGAGACAACATCTAACTCCCCGGAAGCTGATGAGGCTTCAGTTTCATGTTGTCTCCACAATGTGATATTCTCTTGTTAAAAGAATCTATTTTTTCCTTCTTTTTTTGAACATGAGAAAGAACACTCCTGGAGAATCTATCTTCCTGTAGAATCCCTCCCAGAGAGCTCACCTGGTCTGGCTGGTAGCTGTACAGCTGGGTTTGGATGATGAACTGCAGCCAGTCACTGGATTTGGCACATTCCCTCAGGTAAGATGTACTCAGCCCAATCTTATGGACTCTACAGAACTGCATGACCAGAGCCCACTGCCTTCTGGAGTCACCAGATGTCCTGCATGGAACAAAAGGAGCTCCAGTTGTGATAAACTGGTGTCTACACCAGAAGTTAATGTCTAAAGACACGTGGTGTGACAGCCACTTCCTGCACACAGCCCCACCAGCACTTCCACTGACTCCTCTGCAGAAGAGCTCACATTCCACTGTGGGAGCTTCCAGCTACACCCTGGAGATGCTTGCACCCACCAAGGCAGGGCCTTTCTCCTGTGTGGACAATGCAGGCTGGGGAAAAGAGTCTTCACTCCCAAGTGTGCTGCAGGAGCTCTGTGGAGCAGCAAGTCCAGCAGGCTGACTGCACTCCCTTACCCCTGCCAAGACATCCACGACCTCTAGCACTGGAAATGCCAAGATTATACTCTAAATCAATATTCAGTTCACTGCAATGAAACACACATGGATCTCCTTGATGTTACCTAAATAAACAAATTCAGTGCTCAATCTCAATTTGCCAGCAGAATCCTTTAAATCATCCTTTACTCACTTCTTTATTCCTTGATGCTCAATAGCATCCCAAAAGGCTTCTTCCAAGGAGGTAAGAACTTCTGCTGCTGCTGCTTTTTCACCACCAGCCATTTTTGTTAACTTTTCAACTGTTGAAAAGAACATATTAGTATTTCTGAGATGCTATTTGGTATTAGAGTAGGGGTAATATTTTCCAAAGTACCAGAATCAACAAGCAGAAGAAATGCTGTTAATGAAAATGTTTCAGCAGTTTTGCCATGGCTGGCCCCAAATTGGCTACATGATTTTTGAAAAACAATTTCAATTTTTAAATCACACAATCACTTATGAATAAGCTTTACCTACAGTTTTAAGTGACATTTATGATTTTAGAATGATCAGCAAAATATAAATAAATGCCAGTAGTTTTCCAGTTGGGATAAAAAGACACTTGTGGACCTCTAGTTAGAAACACAACTTTCTAAACTTATCCCAGGAATAACCTTAATTTCCTTACAGCTTAGAACATCTGATTTCACTGCAGCTCTAAGATAGTTTTCAAGTATGAAGGAGAAATTGGGTAAAGTCCCTTTGTGCAATCCTCTGGTAATATTATCCCAACATCAGGTTGAACTTTACTAAATATTGAACAGAGGCTCAGGCAGCTGCTGGATGGTGCCTGTTGGATACTCCTGCAATTCTGGCTCTGTGTATATCAGTCTTCCTGCCTTATTTGATATGCCAGGGTCACAATGCACCTTCAAAATTAGTAAGAAGCAGGAATCAAGGTATAGCAAAATTCTCAGCTCTTCAAAGGACAGGATGCTCAGGACAGGATAACTGAGAAGTTAGGAACCACCTTTCAATCCATCACTGCTTCTCTTCCCAAAAAATACACAGTACCTGCTTCTAAACCAAACAGAGCACAGCCTTACCCAAGGATTCTCTTATCTGACTGTGCTGAGACTCTTCCTTTCTAGTTCTGTATCTGAAAATGATGTTTGCAGCTTTAAGGTCAACCCTGAGTTTGAGGCTGTCGAGGCCGAGCAGTTCCAGGAAACACACACAGGCTGCCCCTACTGCAGGGACACTGAAGGAGGAAAGGGCTAAAACACAGGCTTCATCTCCTGCCTGCTGAATCCTGCAACAGAAAGAACACCAGTTATCACCTGTGATTTTTAACCATTTTCAAACATGGATATTCCCCATGTAACCAAGTACCTACCAGGCTTACTAAACTCACAGACTTTATCAGCACACAGGGTATTTACAAACCATAAGTTTCCTATTTATTAAAAAACCCACAACCCTAGGTCTGAGAATAAAGCCTCACACATAAGTACAGTTTGCAGTTTAATAGCCTTTAACAAAATCTAAAGCATTTGATATAATTAATAAAGGCACTTGCCAACAGTTTCAGTGCAAAAAGCCCCATCACAGAGTTCAGAATCCAAACACAGCCTAAAACAAATCCTGTGGATTGTGCTCAGCACAAAAGGGACCCTGGAGTTGCCATAGCACTTGGTTCTTTGGTTCTGAAACTTCTCCAGAGTAGGAACTGCTAAAATCATGCATACTTGGCTGACTTTTAAACTATTAAGTACCTCCATCTTCATTAACATATGTTTTCCTTTTTGCCCAACTCTCAGCTGTTTGCACAAGAGAAACCAATTTGTATAGAAATGAAGAGAAGCAAACAGGGACTAATACACAAAGTCATTCGTTCCAATGTAACTCCTGCTAATTTTGAATATACTTATTAATAAATTTAATATGTTCAAGCAAGATGTGCAATTTGATTGTATCCTTCTGAACGCATCATTTTGAAGCTTCAGCCAGCAAATTTAATTCCTTCAATCTCCAGAACATTATGTATGTTATTAATTTAACTCAAGAAGTGTCATCCATAAGAAATGGCCAAGAAAAGGAGCAACTTTTTTCCTACAAAGTGATCCAGAGGCTCAGGCTTCTCCCTAGAAGAAAAGCCTCCCTGAGTTTGCTACAGCTGGAACATTTTCCATTTCTTGCTTTTGTTGAGCAGAATTTATGGAGGTAATTCAGGATAAAGTTCACCCTCTTTTAGGTGTTATTTGATTTCTGTTCTGGCCTGTGGAATCGTGACCTGTGGAGTGTGGTGATATGTTTTGCTGAGCATGGACAATCAGCACAGGCCTTAGCAGGCCTGAGAAAGCCCATGGAGTGGCCTTGGAGCAGGAGAAACATTTTGAAGACAGGGAATTCCATTGACAGTTCACCCAGAGGAGAAGGATAAACTTGGCAAGGCTGAATGGAACAATCACAGAGTTACATAAAGGCTGGCAGGGGGCGTGGGCAGAGCATGGACAGTGACCTTTACCAACCTGTAGCTCAGCTTAGGTGTGTGAACAGGCTTGTTAGCCTATGGGGCTTGGGGGGCTGTCTCTTGTTTGCTATAAAAGGCTGTAACACTTTGCAATACAGGGATCTGACTGCAGACCCCCTGGAGTGTGCACCTTTCCTCCAGACCCCTTCCCCACACTGGTCCATCATAGGACAGCTAAAATTTCAAGTACCAGAATGCATGCCACTTTTTTGCTGCTGCTGAGGATTAATATTACCCCACGGGCTAAATTCTAACCTCAAAAGAACAACCCCACTGTCAGTTTTAAGGAGACTTACAGCTGTTTGGGGGATTTGCTCTTTACTAACTGCTGGACCAAAAATGTCCCAAAAGCAAAGGCTGGACGTCCATGGTGCAAATAGTAGAGGAAGTCCAGTCGTTCCATGACAGCATATTTGTTCACCAGCTCAGGGGATGAAAAGTGAGGAAAGTCACTTGATGCATCTAGAAAGAAACCAGTTGTTATTATGAACTGGTAAACAGTTGAATTACAGATTGAAAACTGTTTTCAGCTACAAACCACGAGATGACAACAAAATACCTTCCCTCTTGTTCTAATTCAAATCTCAGCATACCCTAATTGTACTGCAGTTCTGATTCTCAGTGTGAAATCAGAACTCTTAGATCCCTCAGCTTCCTTTTAAAAGAAAATACTGCTTTTCTGTCTCCTAACACATATAGAAACAATTCTGTATGTAGAGAGTTTAATGGGTAACCTACCTAGGATTTCATTGCAAACAAAATTTTAGTAAATGACACTTTTTTTTTTTTTAAAGAAATGGCCTTTTGAACATGTTTAATTGCAAACAAAATTTTAGTTAATGACACTTTTTTTTTTAAAGAAATGGCCATTTGAACACGTTTCTCTGCCAAACCACTCCCCTGGAAGGTATGCTATCCCTCAGAAAACACATAGAACTTGAAAAGTAACATACCTGATACAGCAAGAGTGTTTGCTGACTGCCAGCCAAAGAGCTTGGTGGGATCAAAAGGCACTAATGACTGAAAGATTAGAAACAAAATATACTGAAACAGCTTCAGATTTTCCCATCAGAGCAGACTGCAGAATATCCCAGGGAGCTAGAGCAGCAGACACCAGGAGCAGCCTGTGCTGCTCTCAGCAGTGATGTACCTTGTGCACTCCTCTCAAGGTATGTATTTATCTACTGCATAGGATCAGAACCCAAAGAAGTGCAAGAAAAGTCTTAGACTCTGGTCTAAGGAAACAGGGCAAGAACACACTTAAGTATTTTGCTAAACTGTGATCTTTGCAAAGCTAACACTTCCGTAATAATTAATAACTAGTAGCATTTCTTCCACCTTTCCATTTATCTCATACCACAGATCTGAAGCAAAAGCCATTTGCCCAGGAACATGTCCTGACACTCCATGAGACACTCTTAATTTCCCTTAGACAATTAAAAACATTTTAATTTCTGTAATACTAAACAAACTTGCCCTCCAAGCACTGCAAGAACATCACTCATCTGACATTCCAGGACTGCTGAAGTTAAACACTGCAGATGCCTTTACACATCTGGGGAGCAGGGAGCAGCCCAACTCATGGTACTTAGGGACCACTTTGAAAACCTCTTCAGAACAGAGCTATCAACTAACTCCAATTAAGGATTCCAACATATGGTCCCCACCCTCCAGGCTTTATTCTGAACACAAGCCTCTCCTAGTTTATTTTTGTTCTGCCAAGAAGCATTTTGTGTACCTGAACCAGATGGTAAAGAGAGATGTCAGGTGGCAAAATTCCATGAGAGGTACACGGGGGAAAGAGAGCAGCTTTGAGTTTGGGGTAAGGAGTCAGTGCCACTTTTAAGAGCTGTGGATCAACTTTCTTTAGAGGATTTTCTGTATCTTCATTCTGAAGAACCTGCATTGCAAGGAAGCAAAATTATCTTAATGCAAGTTCTTCTTCCGAATGAAATAAGAATAAAAGAATCTCTGAATGTGCCAAACTACCTCAAGGAAATTTGACATGCAGTGACAACACAGAAAGTATCATTTTTTCCCTGTAAAACCTTTTAAGTTACATTAGACACATCTTTAACAGTACCTGGAGTTTTAGGTTACTGTGCTATGTACCAAAAGGCTGCCTGTATTAAAACATTCTGTTCCAACACGTGCTTCACCATTTTAAAAGTTTATTGAAACTGTCTTTCCAACCTGAAACTCGTGGAGGAACACAAGTGCCTCAGCTGTAACTGTTATGAAGGAGTTAAAAGACTCCAACTCACAGCTCCTGTGCCTGGCTGCTTCTAAACTACATCCCCTCCAACTGCTCTACTCGCTTCACTGGGTCAACCAACACTGAAGCATAAACACTGGAAACAGATTTTTACAGGAGAAGAAGTTACATGATGGCATTTGTGTATTTATTTCTATTAACTGATTCCTTTGAGTGCTCTGGGAGAATGTCTCCAGTGGATTCCCAGTCACCTGGAGCACACAGTCAGTACCTGGTCGATACCTCCCGGCGCGTACACTGTAGTAGCCAGTGCCAGCAGTGTCCGTCCCTCCAGCAGCATGCTGCTCACACTGGCTTGATTACTAGGAATCAAGATCTGAGCATTTGCTAGGCTAGCCTGAAAAATCATCCTTGGATCTTAAAAGAAAAAAGGGTGAGATTTAATTTCATGCAAAAACCAGTATTAAATCATTAAGACTCTCCTATGACAACGACAAACAGTGAATTGTCTATGGTGGTGTTGTTAATAATTCAGTTCAGAGGAAATTTTTCTCAATTTACTTCTAAAGACAGACAAACTGCTCTAAATTTTACCAAGCTCTCTCTGATTCCAAACCAGTTTTACTGATTTGGATTGAGTCCCCCAGTTTAGCGTTGCATTGGTTCAACTCTTTACCCTACACTGACCACACTTTCTGAAAAAGCTCCACTTGGGCTTATTTTTATCATTTGTGAACATGTGACTTGACAAAAGAGGAAATGTTTTTTAAAAAAGTGAAACAAGGCACAAGTTTTACTGATTTTCAATGACAATAAAAAAAACCCCAACACACACACACACATAATCCAAGGAGCCTAAAAGTCAAAATGCACTGCAAGAACAAGAGGAAGCTTTAGTTTGGATAGCAGATCTATTTTCTAAGAAAATTAATTCTCCTCCTGTTCAACGTGTTGGGAACATAATAAAACTGGGGGTGATGCTGATCACAGACAAAATAATTCTCAGGTACCTACAGTCTCCCAGTCTTTTTATGCAGTTTAAATAGGATTTGTAATCCCTGTTTTAGAGATGAGGAACCAATGCCCATGTAAATGATTTGCCTGGTGAAAAAAAGCCTAAAGCCAAGCAGAGAACAGAACTGGGCCAAGCACTTGCTGAGAAGCACAAACATGAGAGCCCAGCCTGGGGCAGGACTCCTACCTCCTGGGTTGCTGGCAACCCCTCGACACTGCACGAGGAATTCAAACCAGGGATGTGCTTCGTGCAACTCCTTGTTGTCCAAAACAGGGCAATTGGAGGGAGTCAAACTGGGAATGAGAGGAGCAGCAGCACAGTGAATATACAGTGGAACCATCCTGAGCCCAAATATAACACTGCACTAAAAACAAAGAGCACCTGACTCAGGGCTACAGTGACTTCTTCACCCATTCTTGTGGAAGAGTCCAGTCCCATCACCCTTCCCCACAAGAGGTACAGCTCTAGCTGCCACAGCATCTCTGGCAGGTCCCTCCTTGAACACTCCATTCTGAGCTTCCCTGCTTCCCTAAATCAAAGTAATAGCTTCAGACCTAACAACCCCAAACACCTTTCAAAGAAGGGACTTGACTCACAAATACAGAGGCTAAATATTGCATGCAGAATAAAACTGATTATACAAACAAATTCAAACCAGATTTGCTGGTTTTTTTTCTGGTCCACTTTTACCTTCTTAATAATGACACTATTAGACCAGAATTACAGATAAGAAATTCTAATTCCAGGTATTAATCTAGTTCAAATACCTAATACTGCTTTCTCCTTCAAATCCCAACTTATCCTAATCCAGATGGAAACCAGCAATTTCTCTTTCTGTGAATGCATCAAGAATGAACTCATACTTGTGCTCAAGCAAGTTTCTGAAGAAAAAGTTGTCTTGGCTCATTTAATATTATATTGCTTAAAACTTTATACCAATTACAGCCATAATTGTCTCTTTTGATAACCAACACACAAATTAATATTGACAAAACAACCTGAATAAAGCTTCAAAATACAGCATGAAACTGTCCACGCTGCCCCACAGTTCTCCACTCAGTGATGCTGTTGTGACCTACCTGTAATAGTCTAAGTATGTGTATAACAGGTACTGCAAATTATGTTCTAAGCAGTGAAAGACAAAACGAGCATGGAAGTCCAGACCATCCACAGCACTGTATTTTGGAACAGGGTGAGGATTCTGCAGCACTCCCCCCAGGGAAGACACCCTTTGGAGCAGAAGTTCGAAATCTTCCAACTCAGAAGAGACAAAAATTCCATTTCTATCAGAAAAGAGAAACAGCATGTGCACCAATTAGACAATGCCTTCTTTAACATGTTCTGAAGGGTGTTTCCTGCTCAAAATTACAAAGCAAACCTTTCTTTCTAGGGGCTTACTCACTACCAAGGCAAACTCAGCGTGCCAAACCACGTTTGGTGTGCTCAGAAGATACTGTGGTCACTACAGCTGGCTGCAGAGAACGAGGAGGAAAATGCTGCAAGTTTAGAATTTTCTCCTTTGCACTAAAATGGGCATCAGGAATACAACCACTGTGAAAGACTGAAGGGCTGAGAGAGAATTTCTACTGCTGTCAGGTTTCTTTGCTGTTTTCAGACCATGGAAAGTGCAAGAAGAATTATATTTAATAACGGATTTGTGCCATTTCAAAGAAAAAGGCACCAAATAGCATGCAAGTAACAAAGATCTTACTGAAATTACTATTGTAATGATCAGATTTTGGCTTCAGGTAAGACAGCAAGTCAGCAGAAAGCATTAAGGGCACATACCCAGCCAGCTTGGTTAGTATTTCATTTCTCATATAGCCACTACACAGCATGCTGCGGTCAATGATGTCTGGAGTAAGAGGGGGCCAGTTGCCTGCTCCACACACAGTCCTCTGGGGCTCAGACTCCTCAATCCATGAACAAATACCAAGCCAATCGTGCTGGGCTGTCAAGTGCATCCAAAGAACCTCAGGATTACACGTCTGGAGCTCTGTGTTTCAAAAAGGCAAAGGATGAAGCCAGCACTGCTCAGGGAAACACGACGCCGCGTCACACGCATGGACTCCTGAGGAACATGGTGACTGACCAGCAAATGTGATGTGGAGAGTAAGTGAATCATTACAGCTTGGTAGAGCTGCATGTTGGAAAAGCTAACTACAGCCATAGAATCATAGAATGTTTTAGGTTGGAAAAGACCTTTCAGGTTGTCGAGCCCAACCATTAACCTGTCTCCACCAAGTCCACTGCTAACCCATGTCCCTCAGCACCACATCTCCATAGCCTGGAAACCCCCCCAGGTCCCTCAGCTGCTCCTCACCACACTGGGGCTCTAGACCCTTGCCCAGCTTTGTTGCTCCTCTCTGGCCACGCTCCAGCCCCTCAAGGTCCTTCTTGGAGGGAGGGGCCCAAAACTGACCCCAGGATTCGAGGTGCAGCCTCCTCAGTGCCCAGTCCGGGGGGACAATCCCTGCCCTGCTCCTGCTGGCCACACTAGTGCTGATCCAAGCCAGGATGCTGGTGGCCTTCCTGGCCACCTAGGCACATGCTGCCTCATATTTTGTCAGTTTGCAATCAGTACCCTCAGGGCCTTTTCCACCAGACACCTTCCAGCCACTCTTCCTCCAGCCTGAAGTGTTGCAGGGGGTTGTTTGGCCAGGTCCTGCCCTTGGGTCACTTCACCTTGTTAAACCTCCTTGCACTGGCCTTGGACAATCACTCCAGCCTGGCCAGACCCCTCTGCAGAGCCTCCTGACCCTCCAGCAGATCAACACTCCCACCCAGCTGGGTGTCACCTGCAGACTTACAGAGGATGCACTCAATAAGAGTGCAGTGAGCTCTGCAGAACGTAGCAGAGTATGGCATTTGCAACAAGTGGCCATGCATTAGACAAATCCCTTTCACCTAGTTCCAAATTTTTCTCTACAGGAATATGACATCCCTGCCAGCAGAGGATGAAAACACACCATTTTCATTGACAAATAACTGACATCCTGTGGTAGCACACAGCTTCAGCTCTGCCAGTGCCACTCCTACACCACTGCAACCTCCTCGGTCAAAGACACATTTTCAATTCACAGTTGAAGTCCTTAGCACCAGAAGACTTGCCTTGGCGTGGTTTTCTGGGCAGAAGAACCATTTCCTGAGTAAGCTCATCCCACCACTGAGCCCAGTTAAACATCACTCTGACCCTCTGAGTGGGATCCTGATGTCCATGGCAGCTCAGGAGTGATCCCAGCAGAGCCGTGTGCCCGGAGTTGTCTGCCTGCCCCTGCCACCACCTCCAGCTGCAAGGAAGTTAGAGCCATTAGGATCTTTTCTAATGTTCTTTTAAACAGCAGTCCACAATCTATAAATAAAAGTATTTATAATAATTTATAATAAAAGAGCATAAAGTCCACAAACAGGTGATGAAAAGCTTGAAGAAATTTTGCTAGTCCGTTTTGAAGGGAGTTCTGGGAGTGGCAGAGGGATTTCCTTCAGCTCAGAGTTTGAGAGGTGCTCTCTTATGAGAGCAACCAGCAAACAATTTACCTCAGCTTTCCAAACGGGACATAGCAAATGGTAACTACTGGAATGTTTTCACAATTATTTAACTGTAAAATGACCTTTCTAGGTTGGTTTGTTATGTTATGGCTATCATATGTTCAAAAATAGAGCAAATATTCTGCCTGTACATGTTTCATTTGGTTAATAATTCTAATAATATCATTTCTTATTGAAAATATTTCACTTATGGTGATGCTGACATGAACAGAAGACCAGCAGCACATCATGACTCAGTCTGGAAAGGACATGACAGCAATTGTGACATTAATGAGAACAGCAATCAGGTCCCCCACTGACCCTTAATTCTCCAAATGAAGACCAGTGTGAAATTAATGAAATTACAGGAGACTGTATTTGTTAGAGCAGCAAGTCATGTGGAATGTAGAAGCCAGTGTATGTTAAATCCTATTAGTGTTATTAATTAGTAATTAAAATTGATAACCCACATTACCTGGAAAGAGATTGAATCTCTTTATTTTCTTGGAAGGATTCTGAGTAAAGGCTTTCAACCTGGTGCACAAAGTCTATCATTTTCTTCTCTTTTTCAGAAAAATAATTTTCTTCTCGTAAAACTTTCACCTTTAATTAAAATTAAAGTATTACCTCCAATTGCAATTTTTATTTACTTATAGCAAAGTTGTAAATGATCCTGCAGGTGTAAAGAGTTGAACAAGTGTAGTAAAAAGTGCTGGAAGGATTGAGGTCAAAACACTTCAGTTACAAGAGGGACAGGGTTCATCCTGTGTGTGAGCAGCTCAGAGCCTGGACAAAGAAATGGCATTTGAAGCCCTTTCTCCTTTAACTGCACACACAAAAGAGCACAGGCACCACACAGACAGGTTTCAGCAACTCCAGCACAAGGATGCAGGGACAGAAGCTGTCTGCTCCCATTCTGACAGCAGGTTCCATGCCATGCTGCCTCCCAGCATGAACACACCCCAGACCTGAGGCCCAAGGAGACCAGCCAGGCTGGTGACTCTTGCCCACTCACCAGCAGATCTCGGACGTGCCTGTCGGCTGTGTAGAAGCAGATCTTATGCAACTCCTCCTTCACATCAAAGCCCTAACAAAAAAAGAAGATACACATGGCACGCACACTGTACAAATGCAGCTCTGTGTGGGCAGGATGAATGCTCCCAAGGGCACCACCCCTTACACACGTGCTTGTGACTGTCACTTCCCAGTTACCACTGAGGCAATAACCCAGAGATGTGTGTGATGTCTCCAGCACGTCTGGATATGAACTGTGTACCCCTTAGCACCCAGCTCATCAGAATTGCCTTTACAAACATTCATAACCAGGCTCCCTCAGCACTCTGAGGATGTTAGTGATCAAAGCAGTTCTTTAAAACAAGTGAGTATTCACCATAATCCATCCCTGTGGTCCGATCAATACATCCATACGAGACCTAAATGCTCCCCATGCTCTAAGCATTCATTTATTTGCATTCATTCATCAAGTCCCCACCCCTGGAGGGGTTTCCAAGCTGTGGAGATGTGGTGCTGAGGGACACGGGGCAGTGGGGACCTGGCAGTGCTGGGGGAACAGCTGGACTTGAGGATCTTGAAGGTCTCTTCCAACCAAAACAATTGTGTGATTTCTTTAGTCATAAAGAAAAGTTAATCACTATCAGCATGCTCACTGAACACCTCTCACCATATTTCTTAAAAGTTCTGAAGCCTCTCTGGTGTTGCCCTTCAGAAGATGGTCATAGACCAGGTTCAAGCCTGTCTGAATAAACTCTTGAAGATTCTGAGCAGGGTGCTGCTGCACTTGGAAGAAGGTCTGGGCCTCTGGCATTCTGTTGCTTAAGATGGCCTCAGCAATGACTTCCTAAAAGGGGAAAAGGAAATGGGATAAACTGGTCTGACTCATCTTCAGTGTTACTCCCTTTAAAATTCCTATATTGACTTTTTTTTTTCCTCCTAACAGTTTAAAGACATTTCCATATCCATAAATATATTTAATAAGAACAGTAAAGAATGGATTACTCATTTTTACCTCTGGTGTCAGTTTTTCCCAAGTGTGGCTTTCTTCTAAGACAGGCAGGTCTTCACCCAGACCCCTTCCTGGGTGTGCTGGGCTCATTTCTGCCCAAGGATATTTTCTCAGAAATTTTCTAAGTTTAATAATGTAATCAGTTAAAATATCTGCAGCTTTCTGCAGGGATTTATCAGGTTCTGTCAAGAGAAAGGAACAAAGAGGGCATTTGTAACTGCTGAACAAGCAGAGCACAGCCCCACGAGCCCACCAGCTCTGTCCTGCACAGGGACTGCCACTGGCCACCCTGCCAGGACACAGTCACAGTCCCACCCTGCTTAGGTCCCCTACCTAAACAAGGACACACTGCACGAGTACATATGATTCAAAAATAAGTAATCTTACCCTCTGTGTGCACAAAAATTTCCTCAAGTTGCTTGCTAAGGAAAGCCAACGTGAGGCTGAGCAGCTGCTCAGAGAAGGGTTTACTGTGAGGCTCCATGTCATTGTCTCTGATGGCTGAGCAAAGCAAGTTCAGAGCTGGCATCAGCTCTTCCAAATCTGCAAAATTTACACAAGAAAGTCAAAACATCTGCATTCCTTCACATGACTGATCACAGAAATTTAAAATTTAAGTTACGTGTCATAGAATTATGCTACAAAAACCTTCTAAAATGTGTCAAACAGTGTAGGCAACGTGCTTTGCCTCCTCAGCAAAATGCATCTAACACATATTGTAACAGCAGAACACAACAAAAACACTCCATGTTATGCACCATTCCTTTTTGATCTTCCAGAAGTGAAGAAGCTGCAATAAAGCATCACCCAAACATACAAGAGTGCAGGCAACTCAATCTGCTTCCACAGACACACGACCACAAAGAGAAAGGCAATTCAATTTAAACCTCTCTCTCTGGAAGTGCAGGACTTACTTCTCAGGTAGGCCTGGGACAGGCTGGCAGTGGAGTGCTGAGGCCCAGAGCAGGGTGCAGACAGACTGAAGAGACTTTCTTTGCTTTTTAAGAATAAGTCCACCGTGTCCAGCTGCCGATTTTCCAAACCTGCCTAGACAAAGGTGCAGGAGAACAATGAATCTCTGTGTTCCAAACACAGATGCTGGATGCTCACTGAGTATTTCTACTTCCCACTCCGTGACCAAGTCTACATGCAGAAAAACAAGAAGTAATCCAAAGTGTGTGCAACACCCACAGCCTGAAATGAGAAGGTGACCTGCTCAGTACCTGCCACGCTCCTGTAGTGGGCTTTGCAGGAACTCTGCCCTGCATCTTCAGAGAGAAAATGTTAATTCAGCAATTTGTTTGGGATACAAAATAAGTGCTGTGAGAGTCTGGACTCTGCATAAGCTGGCAGCAGCTGGAAGCTGCTGAGACCATCACCCCACCAGTTCCCTTCCCATCACAGCCTTCAAACAAAACCAAAAGAAGCAAAGGGTTTTGTCCAAGCTCCCTCCCTCCAAACACAACTGGGGACACAGTGTGTCACAGAGTTCTGGTGTGGGCAGACTGGTGCAGGGTCCCAGACTTCTGTTAAAAAATAAACAAGAGGGTTTTTTAAACAAGGATCTCTGTTACCTAAAAGTAAAACTAGAGCACTGGAAAACCAGAAGGACAAAAGATTTGTTTTGTGGTCTGGTAGAAGAAAAAGATTTTATCACCTATTGTTAAGGGACATCAAGCAACATCTGGTAGCATTAAGTTCTCTTCTTGGCTTCACAAGAGTAGTGTGATAAAAAAGACTGGTTCCAAGGATTTATATTTTATATGTTTTAATATTTGATGTTTTGCAGGATGAGAAAAGCTGCTACAGAAGTTATCAAAAATGTTTTAGGGTCCAATTAAAGGGGATTTTTGAGCACTGCTTAATTTAAAAAAAGTTGGTTGGGTTTTTTTTGTGTGCTTCTGTGGTTTTTTTTTTCCTTTCATATACTTTGTTGCTGTATTTCTCCTTTTGGGTCACTCAGCTGGGTTACCCCCATTTTTTTATTGCTTATTTAATAACTGAGCCACTATTTGTTGCCCCTAGGTTACTGGTTGTGTCTAACCCCACCACTAATGTTGCTAAACTGCATTCATGACTAAAAAGTAGTATTTTTTGCCACCTGTAAGGCACAAAAGAGATTTCCTTACCTCTAGGGCGTGGATGGGAATCGAGCATCGCTCCCAACCGTTGAGATGACAAAGGGCATCCACGACCCCAGCGCTGCCATAGATCATCAATCTAGTCAAAAACTCCTCTTGAGTTAAACCAAACAGAACTAAGGACAGATCGTATTCTAAATAAAAGAATCAGACCACCATTAAAAAATACAGAAGCAAGTTGCTGCAGAGAAGCATTTCTATCCACTGCCTCTCTTCCAAATCGACGCCACAGAGCTGCCCAGGCTCCCTTGGGCTTTCACCTCAGTGAGAACACATCAGAAATTCAGCAGCAGCAGCCAGGTAGGCAAAACAAACAACAAGGAAAAAGCTTTTCTCAGACAGCTACATCAGAACAGTTAGGTACAAGCCCCTCACCTGTCAGCAGCAGACACACTGGCACCTCTCCACTGCAATCCACGTAAGCGCTGGTTCTGCCAAAGGGGTAATAGCTCACAGCTTGTGACTCAAAATCCCAGAGAGCAAGAGTCAACCCCTTGTCTTCCGTTAAGACCACAAACAGGGCTCTAACTCCAGTCACCAGTTTACACTCCAGACTCACCACTTCTTGTGGTGCTTCTCTGGGGATTTGTTTCCACGGCTGTCCTGCATTGCTGAGGTCTGTCCCACTGGGTTTGGAAGGGGCCCACGTAACAACCCGTGGAACAAAAGCCACAATATTCTCTGAATTCTCATAGATTTCAGGATCGTGACCTTCAAGATGGGTAAAAAACTGATACCAAGGTAAATCCAAGTCATTCACCAAATTTGAAGACCCTGGTCTTCTTCTCCTCACTCTATCAGACAGCGAGGCTAGGTGTGCCTTCCAGGACCTGGCGTGAAGAAAGAAGTGACTTGTAATATCAGCTCTTACTCTGAGAACAAGGCAGCTCAATAAATTTCAACTAAATTTCACGTTTCCTCAGTTCAATAACATGCACTGTAAACTCCAGCCAGCATCTTGCACTTCCACCTTAACATGCCCTGTTTATTTCTGCTTAAATACTGCCTGCAGCCAAGCTGCACTAGCTGACGACAACCACAAAGCTCAGCATCTTCAGGAGAAAACTTCCTTTTCCTTCCCACATCAATTCAAAAAGAAAGGAGAATGAAGTTAATTCCAGAAGTGATGGTTATTACATTTATATTATATAATTATATTAGCTATATAACTATATAATTCTGTGTAGCTACAATTAACATTTTATTAGTATTAATGCTCCTAATACTAAGGGTCACAATGGGGTTAAAATGTTTTCCATGAACACAAAGTATTTTGAAGCCCACATGCACTCATCTGTGCTAAACAGGCAACAAACTGTGAGTACTTGGAATACAAAAATCTGTCAATAATGCTTCAGACTGAAGGCAACACCCTGAACAGACCTAATTACTCTTTGGAAGCTGTTCAATGGCAGAGGTAAAGTTGTCTGGCTATGTCCTAACACCATCCTGACACTGAAAAGATTTAAAGCAGAATGAGCTGATTTCACTTGCCACGACTGCAATGAAAAAAATGAATTAATGAATCATTAATGAGTGATGCAGAGGAGGCAGCCCCCAGCCTGTTTCAGAAAGAGTTTCCATCCCGTACCTGTCTGTGCGGAAAGGCTGCGACAAAAGCTCCATGCTGTGGTCAGAACTAGCCAGGTCATCCTCATCAAGTCCTTCAGGAGGCTTCACTGGAAGACTTTCTGGATCCCTCTTACAGAGCAAATGCCCAGGGAACTGTCTGTGAAGAAATAAAGGCTAAATTTCACCTCCCTCAGATGATTTAAGATTTTATTTCACCTTCCTGTGTCACTCCTCCAGCAGCTGCCAGCAGAGCAGGCTCCTCTCACACTAACAGCACTCACAAACATTTACCCAGGTGAGCCACCAAAACCCACAGCTATTTCCCCTGAGGTGGACCCCACTTCTAAATTACAATCTGGTCCTAATTTATCAAGCAAAATCAGTACAACCATATCAGAATTGTTTTAACAATCCCATACCCTGCAGTATTTCTACGACGTGCTGCCAGCCACCATAAGCAGTGACTGACAGCACGTATCCTAATCCTCCTAGGAGAAAAAATAAAGTCCAACAGAAGCTTTCTTCTGTTTATTAAAGTGATAGAGAATAAACTGGAGCAAATAATAAGTCAGTCTTCAAACAAATATGAAATTTCTGCTCTGCCACAGAGCCAGGACTCAAAATCAAAGGCTGGCAGCATCTCAGGGGTTACCGGGCCGAGGCAAACGCACCTGAAGTAGAGGTTTAGGTCCAGGCAGATGGCAGAGTTGGAGGAGGTGGTGACCACGGCGAGGCGCAGATCCTGGGACACCTTCAGGGCAGTGAGGGGTGAGGGGAGGGCAGGAGCAGTGCCCCCAGCCCCCAGCCCCACGCTGACCCGGGCCAGGCGCGCCCCGTCCGAGCCGTCACACACGTCTGCACACTGTGTCAAAGGCAACACCCAGCCTGGGTAACACCAGTCACAGGGGGAAGACACAAACACCCCGGGCCAGCACGCAGCCTGGGCCACCTCCAGGGAGCTCACTTATCCCTAGGGGTGACAGGGACACGGGCAATGGCAGCCATGTAGCTAGGAGGACAAAGTAACCTGGCTCGAGTGCGTTTCCCCACGCCCACAGCAGGAAAAGATTGCCCAGGAACAGGTCCAGGTGGAGCTCCCAAGAAAAGACTGCCAAGGAACAGGTCCAAGTGAAGCTCCTTTTCACTGCACTAACTCACACCTTGCTCCCTTTCCCAAAATCATCTTCAAAAAAGCTTCAATGGCTTTCAAGAAATTTCTGCTTCAGACAGAAAAAAAAAAAACCCTGACTTTGTTCTTGAGATGACTTCCACTGAGCTAGTCTCTGCTGCAAAGGATACAGATCCAGCCAGAGCTCTCTAAGAGGAACAGGATCCCCCTGCAGAAGTGGGTGTCTGTTATCCCCTCCAAAACTTGCTGAGGCAGATCAAGGGTCACGCAGTCACATGCCTCAGAGGATGAGTTTCTCCCAGGAAAGGCAAGGTGCACCACAATGACCTTATTGAGCAGGAGGATGCATTTGTTGTGTCCAAAATACAGTATCTTCAAAGAGAAAATGGAAGGCAGGCCTGTGAATTTAAAGATATTTTAGGATTACAGCAACACGGTGCTTTTGATTCATACATAACTCAAGAAAATTACAGCTGAAGTTCACTGCCCCTGCTACCACCTTAATAAGAGCTGGGCTTGGAAGGGGGGTGGGGTGTTCTGTTTTAAATCTCACTTCCCATAGCAGAAGCAGCAATTTTAGAACAGTTTCCTAAAATAGTGCAGGCTTTTCAAGAGGACAGCACTATGAAGAACACACACAAAAAAAAAACCCCAGCATAATATTTCAGTCAGCACTGAAAATAAAAACTACAATCTTTGGAAATAAAAATCCCTCTGCAAGGGAGACTTTCAGACCACGTGAAGCATCACAGATCTGGGTCCTACAGACTCTGCATGCTATGTTTGCTAAGGATACAGCATAAGCAATTAGTTCCTGCAGGATTAATGAGGAGGCCTGTCTCTGTTTTCTCCCCATCAGCTCCAATATTAAAGGCAATGTCAGAGATAGCAGTGTTGTGTTAATGTTTCACTAAGTTTACCTTTGACTTGCACCCCCCAAACCCCTTACCCTGCCAGCTCAGTTCCCTCCAGCCACGTCACCTTGGAATACAGAAGCATCTCTGTTATTTTTCAGGTTCATTAACACTGCTACTAATTGCTTTAAATGGCTGTGGAAGCACCTGACCTCCCCTGGTGCTCAGTCCTCCTGCCTCCCTTGGTTTCACCCAACAACCATTTCAAATACACAAGGAAATTTACTCACTGATGTTCTTTACTTCAAGGAGCTTTTTAAGTGTCTCTTCCTTACAAGTGTACAGGGAGCTCGGGTTGTATTTTCCATCTTCTACAGAGAATTCATAGACAAACAATTCATGGCTTTTACTAAGAGCCAGGATTTTTGTCTTGTCTGCTTGCGGCTCCTCCTGGTCCGTGCTCTCCCACAGGAAGCTGGAGGTAGAACATTCAGCAGGGTCACTGCCTCTTGCCCCGCTCCCCTCCCACACCCTGAGCAGTTCTGGACACGTGCTGATGACTGACAGTGTCACTTTAACCTTGGGCAGCAGGGATCCTGCTGCCACACCCCCTCCCCTCCCACCAGGAGAGCATTTTTCACCCCTAGCAGAGACTGCAATGCAAGCAGTGCTTGAGGAACCCCAACTTCTCTTCTTCTCAAGACTAGAGATTTTTCCTATCATCATGTGCGTCCTTCAGTCCTCCCTGACACGTGCTGTGCCAGCAATGCTCTGATTCAGGACTTAGAATCATGAAGGTTGGAAAAGACCTCCAAGATCAAGTCCAACCATCAACCCAACACTCCCATGACCACTAAACCGTGTCCCCAGGTGCCACGTCCGCATGTTTTTTGAACCCCTCCAGGGCTGGGGACTCCAGCACCTCCCTGGGCAGCCTGGGCCAAGGCCTCACCACTCTGCCAGGGAAAAAATTCTTCAAAATATCCAGTCAAAACCTCCCCTGGGCAGATTAACCCCATTTCCTCTTGTCCTATCAGTAGTTGCCTGGGAGAAGAGACCAACCCCCACTTCACTCCATCCTCCTTTCAGGGAGTTGTAGAACAAAAGGTCTCCCCTCAGCCTCCTCTTCTTCAGGCTAAACTTGCAGGAGGAGGAGGAGCCTTGCCAGTGAGGGAGAACCAGAGCACCCTGCCCCTTCTGCGGGTCCTGCCTGGCCATTGCTCAGCCACAGGAGCTCTTTGGGTGCCTGTCTCCACCCTGCTCTCATACAGAGAGGGGAGCAGGCAGGGGGCAAATGGCCAAGAAGCTGCTCAGGACGGTGCAGAGCACAACACTGACCAGAGCACCGAGCAGCGCTGGTGCTGCTTGGCACCGCAGGTAGCCAGACCTGCAACGGGCCCCTGGGTTCGACTCGGGGCCAATAGCCAGCACAGCAGAGCGAAAACATCTTGTGATGCTGATGTCACACGCACCAGCGGGCAGGGAAGTCACAAAGAGGGCAGGGAAGTCACCACGGAGGCAGGGCACCACTCCAGCCAGCAACCCGACAGAACCAGACAAGCTTTCATTGTTCCCGTGCCGATTTACTGCAGCGCATCCACCCACAACTGAACAAACCAGCAGACACCAACTCGCGTCCCCTCCGGCGATGGGATTTTAAGTGTCGAACGTCCCGTTTCAGGGCAAGGTTCGCAAGTCCCGCAGGCCCAGGGGCTGCCCGGCCACCGGCACA